CCAGTTAAAATCCATTACCCTTAATGACTCATTTGACCTTCTCTTTTATGACTCCATGAGAGCCTAAAAAAATTCAAATTTTCCAGAGAGTAGGCTACACGCCTGTCCTGATACCTATTTATGAGCATAGGCTATTTTAAATAAATATTGAAATCACAATTTTAAATAAATAAACAAAGAAAATAAAACATGCAATTGTTCTAATTACTATTTTTTATTTTTTTTCATTGTCACAAACAACGTTATGAATATGATTTCTAAATGTGTTTCTAATTTTGTCATCTGGCGCCATCTAACGATGGTATTTAAACTTACAATAAAATTACTATTTGCTTAAGATCGCATTGCCTACTATTCGTCCATTAGGCCTATGGCAGATGATTAAACTGGAAGAAAAACTGGCTGAAAAACAATAGTAATGGGTTATATTAAATACTACACCTTAGTTTAAAATAAGGAGCCTTGTTAAATAGCCTACTTATTTTAAACTATTTTTTTTTAAATCACAAGCAATTTCAGCTTTTTTCTGATTTAGTTTTAATGCCATGGCAAATGATCTGCAAAATATCCCATTAAAGTAAGCCATATGTATGCAACTATTCATTTTACATTTTCTTTCCCAAATCTTTTTTTTTTTTTTTTTTTTTTTCATTTTCACTATTTCGATGGCCAACTTTTGAAATTCTAATAAGTAGCCTAACTAGGTTACATTTCACTTGACACTTGGAGTATTAGTTGACTGGTTAGATGTTAGGGTTCGGGTTAGTAGAATATGTTGACATGTATAGTTGCAAAGTTACTTATAGTCAGAATGTTTGTTGGGGAGCATCAAAGAGTCTACTAATAATCTGGGTAACACTTTAGAATACTGTATCTTACTTACTGCATAACTAATAAGGAATTAATGAAGAACTAATAGGTAATTCTTTATTAACACTTAAGTCACTACTGAAAACTACTAAGGAAGATGTGTTAACTAATCAGTATGTAATATAATTTTATGATTGTGTTAAGTATCAGTTATTTAATCAATAGCTAATGAATTCTATCATACCTCCTGAAGAACTACTATTAATTATCTATTAATTAAGGTTCAAGAAAAATAACTATGAAGTAACTACTAATTAACAGTCATACACAGTAGTCAGTTTGTCATTCTTCAGAATAAGAAAGATAAGTGCAGACATTTACCTCTGCTGATAAGCAAAAACATATCATGTATATAACACCTTATTATTATACTTAGTTCTTATACATTTTAAACTTCTTTTGCACCATTCAAGTTCCGTCAATATCGTGGTTGCAACATACACTGAGCCTGGGTTCTCCCAAGGTTTTTTTCTCTATTCTGTCACCTAATGGAGTTTTGGTTCCTTGCCACTGTTGCCTTTTTCACTTCTCTTCGCCTTTGTCGCCATTGGCTTTTGGCTTGCTTAGTTGGGGACATTTAACATTTATTTTTGAATTTAACAATACTAGTACAACATTGTTTTCCTGTTATCTATGTGAAGCTGCTTTGAAACAATTTGTATTGTAAAAAGCGCTACATAAATAAAGGTGACTTGACTTGACAGTGATTTGGTGACGCAAGAGTCCAGGCATTTGCATCCTCCTCTGGAGAGTTCTCAGCGCCACCGATTTGGTGCATTTCTTTAGCGAAATACAGATTTGTGTACATTTTATTTAATCCATAAAATCATTACTGTGCTGTAAATCATTTTGTTTTATGCAAGGCAACATACAACGACACAATGTCAGTTACCCTGTAGCTAGCTAAATCTATTTACATCAGATGTTAAAATCTGTTCTCAGAGCTGTGCACTGTTATGGGCAGGTTATGGAGTCAAGTATTTTTTTTATTCCTAAAATGTTTGTTAAATGAGTTTAAATGTAAACAGTATTATACATGTTAAAACATTTTTTTTTTTTTTGCTGTATTAAAAAATGTTCTCATCTAAAATTAACAAATAAAGGAAGATATCATGTAAACAAGTAATTGTCGTGTATTTTACAAATGTTTAGATGATTATGTTAATATATATATATATATATATATATATATATATATATATATATATATTTGAGTCAGAAGTATGTGGTAATTCTTTATTAATTACTAATGGGTTCCCTATATTGTCACTTTAGAATACTGTTTCAGGTTCTAAGTAATCCTGCAGAACTATCTAATAATTATTTATTAATTACTAATAAGTTCCTTATATTTTTACTTTAGAAGACTGTTTCAGGTTATAAGTAGCCTAATTCCTAGACAATTATTTGATAATTATTTATTAATTACTAATGGGTTCCCTATATTTTCACTTTAGAATACTGTTCCAGCTTCTAAGTAATTCCTGCAGAATTATTTGATACTTATTTATTAATTACTAATAAGTTCCCTATATTTTCAGTTTCCCTCAGTCGTTGCCTCAAAACATGAATTTACTCAGTCAGTGGCATTCTATGCTGAGGAAAACAGACACACACAGTACTGTATATAAAATATACAAATAATCTGAGGTTAGTTTTGTATGACTGTTCCATAGTTACTTCTTAGTTATTTTTCTTGAACCTTAATTAGTAGATAATTAGTAGTAGTTCTTCAGGAGGTATGACAGAATTAATTAGTTATTGATTAACTAACTGATACTTAACACAATCATAAAATTATATTACATACTGATTAATTAACACATCTTCCTTAGTAGTTAACAGTAGTGAAGAAGTAGTTAATGAAGAATTACCTATTAGTTCGTCAATAATTCCTTAGTAATTCTGCAGTAAGTAAGATACACTATTCTTACCATAATCTGTTGAGAGATAGTTGAGATGTTAGTTGACAAGTTACTTGATATAATGGCTAAAGTGGACCATCAAAATAAAGTGTTTTCTGTAACAGAACCAAAGACAAGACAACAGACCCATAGATGTTCTGTGGAGCAAAAACACAAAATGGAGCACGTGTCATGAGTAACTTCATAATCTGATCTGATGCTGTTACCTGGAGAGGAGGTGTTTGTTAAGTGGGATTGATGTTGGGTGACTAAAGGAAAACATTTGGCAGGTGTGTGGGAAATATCAGATTTCCTGGAGTCTTTGGAGTTTTTCTAGATTGTTTCACCATGGCAACAAAAAATATCCATCTCTGCTCTGCTAGACCACAAGGAACAGGAACACTGACATATTGTTGAAGAAGTATAATACTAATTTGTTTATTATTCTCTAACTTGGTGGAAATACATTGCAATGATAATTAAATTATAGGTTCAAATATAGGGCATGGTTGCTTGGTGGTTGGAGTCCTGACTGAGCCAGGAGACCTTTCTGTGAGATTGCATGTTCTCCCCATGTCTGTGTGGGTTTCCTCTGGGTGCTCCAGTCGCCCCCCAGAATCCAAAAACATGTAGAAAATGTGAATTGGGGATGTGAAGGATGCACAAATAAAGTTTTTCTCAACACACACACAATCACACACACACAAACACACATAGGTACTTGAGAAATAAGTTCAACTACTGCCAGAAAAATAGAGAAATATCTCTTTCAGTGGGGGGAATCGTATTTTCATATTTATATAAATATTTTTTTTTTTCCTTTTTCCTTTTTAAAGGGAATAGATGAGATCTAAGCCTGGAACTGCATTAATAAAATAAATGAAGCAAAGCTAGTTGGGAGCTTATTAGAGAGAGAGAGATTATTGTGCAGTATCTTAACCCTAAAACCGTATTCTGGACAAATGTGGGCAAAATATTTTTGATTTTTTTTTTTTTTTTTTTTTTTTTAAATACTTCCCTTGATCTGAGCGGTACAAGACTTGGCTACTTTTCCTAAGTTTGCCTCCTGAACACACACAATTTTTTTTTGACTCAATTCTACAATTTTAAATGTGTGGAAAAAACAAAAACTCCTTAATCTTGTATTTGGGTCAAAAATGAGCACCCATAGAAATGAATGGGAAAAACTGTAATTTAGAGCATTCTAAAATAAGCCAAAATAAGACACCAGGTGACAGCAAAGTCACTTCATAGGTTTTAGCTCTAAGAACTTATTGGAAAGACATTTTAATGTAGGTAAAAAAATTTAAAAAAATAAAACATAAAAATAAGCATAATTTACATAGAAAATATGGTACTTTTGAAGTAAATAAATTCAAAAATACCCCCCCCCCCAAAAAAAAAAAAAAAAAAAAATAAAAAAAAAATAAAAAAAAAAAAAAAAAAAAAAAAAAAAAAAAAATAAAATAAAACAAAACAACAACAACAACAAAAACACCATAGAAAAAACTTTATCGAAGACAGTGATATAACATTTATAATAAACAACCACAAAATAATAAATAAATAAATAAAAAATAGGATCACACCCAAATCCTCTGTACCCACACATTTGTCCACAATTATTGATGGCTATGAAGTGAATACGGTTTGAGAGTTAAAATGTAGTAGGCTACTTCTAGTTTTGTTAGAAATACAACATTTTTCAGACTATAACCAAACTGTTTTGCAGAGAAAATTGTCAAAATAAATAATTTATTTTGCAATCGATATGTAGCCTATCGCTGTATATTTCACTTTTTATCAATAGGGAAAACTCCACCCAATGAAAGTTTGCCAATCTCTCTCTCTCTCTCTCTCTCTCTCTCTCTCTCTCTCTCTCTCTCTCTCTCTCTCTCTCTCTCTCTCTCTCTCTCTCTCTCTCTCTCTCTCATTAAAAGCAAATGTGCATATACTTTAAATTCGTGGGCTTAAATTAGTATTGATTTTGATGACAGAACTGAAAAGTCCTTGCTGAAAGAGGGACATTAGCTATACAACATCATAAATTATACATAATTTTAAATAAACCCAAAGCCAAAGCAACTTGTAGGCTATCAAACAAGAAAAGGGATTCACAGTAAAAAAAATATTTCACAGTATTTCTTTGTTTTTCTAAGCAACCAAAGATTTTTGCTGAAATTTAGAAAGTTTGGAGTAAACTTCATTTCCCATAAGTCCACTTCAGAAACGTTGTAACGGATGTGCGTCAGATGGCGCTTGAGTTTGTCAGTCATAACGCAATTCGAGTCGACACTCTACCACCAGGCAAGGACATCAGCAGAACAGATTCAGGCAGCGAGTATTAACATTAATAATTGTATTGCTGCGCTGTAATTTAGAACAGATTACTTCGAGTACCACCATACACTATTAATTAAACACTGTGTCGGCCTCTGCATTCAGAGCTGATAAGCTTTATGAACCGGTCATGCGCTTATCTAAGATCTGAGTTTGTGCGTGTGGGTTTAAGTGTTTCTGAATCAAGGCACACACTGGCTGTAAACTGTCTTTGTTTAAAATGTTTCTTTGTGTTCAGGTGTTGATGATGGCAGTAGACTGGGCTGGTTATGGATACGCAGCACTAGTAGCATCTGGAGGAGTCATAGGATATGTCAAAGCAGGTAATGAGAAAGCTCAATAGGTTACCATGTTCATAGAGGTTACATTAGAGCCCAAGCTGGTTTGCTGGTCATTGGCTTGTCAGGCTGGTTTTGGTTAGCTTTGTTGTTTTTTTGTTTTTTGTTAGCTGGTCAGACTATGAAACTGGCCAAGACTGATCAGCCAAACACAAGCTTGATCAGATTGTATGCCACTTATGCTCCACGTTTATATATGTTTTTAATCTAAACCAACTTGGTTCTTCTATATTCAATAAAAATGTCATACACTTTGGGACCTGTTGTACCCCATTGATTGTTTATATATATATATATATATATATATATATATATTGGATTTTGCAACATCAACAGTTATTGAACCTAAGTCAAACAGACATTGAACTGCCTTGAGCTGAATAATGATACTATTGTCTTTTTGTGGAGGTGCTTTACAGCAGAATTTTGATTAGTCTCATATTTGATTAAGTTTTCGTCATTAACAAGTTATTATCCTGTTTATTACTGTCAGGCTGCTTTGAACCCATCTATTGTTTAAAAGTATTATTTAAATAAATGTGACTTGGGATTACATCTAAATGTTAAAAAAACAACTTTGTTTTGTACACTGAATACCTAATGCCGCTTTATACAATTTATACCATTAATCAGTGTTTTAGTACATTTTATGTTTTAATTCCGTTGTCCTGCAGGCAGTGTGCCGTCCCTGGCTGCAGGACTACTCTTTGGGGGTTTGGCTGGATTCGGTGCTTACCAGACATCACAAGATCCAAAAAATATTTGGGTGTCTTTAGGTTTGTATTTTTTTCAGGGCAGCAATTATTATGGTTTTTGAAGTCAGAAAGTAATCTAGGAGCAGTATGTGTGATTGTTGATCAATGTTTTTCTCTCTCAGCTGCATCCGGAACACTTACTGCTGTCATGGGGAAGAGATTCTATAACTCACGCAAAATCATTCCAGCTGGTCTCATCGCTGGAGCGAGGTATCTAACACACATCACACTTCATTTGTCTAATACAGGGATTACCAAAGTTTTTGTCAGCCAAACCCCTTTGAGATTTTTTTTTTTATTGTGTTTTCATTATAAAACTATTTATTTTATATTTTTACATTTTCAAGATTCAATGAATTATTAGTGCTTCATTACTTCGGCAGGGCCCTCATGAACGAATCATAGTTTGGAAAATCCTGGTCTAAAACCTGAATAAATTTTGTTCTTGGCTGTTAGTGAAATAAGTTAACATAATAATAAAATAAAAAGACAAATAAATCATATTCTCATGCATACACATGCAGATTCTAGCCAAATGTGTAAAAGGGAGTGCAAGCCAGGATTAGACCTTAGTTCAATTAAGACATTTAAGTTGCTTTTACAAACCTGTCCTAGAAAAAAAAGCTATTTTTAAAAGTAGTGCACATGCCTCATCTGCTGGATTTATTTTCTTCTGAATTTATCCAATAGCTCTGAGTAAAAACAGACAATTTGTCTTTTACATAGCTGGATGACAAAATTTTCAGTTTTGGCTAAACTATTCCTTTAATTGTTCCTTGCAGTGTCCTGATGCTGGCAAAACTTGGAGCCGGAATGTTACAGAAACCTCAGCAATCATGATCCATTCAGAAATCACCATCTACTTTCATTCAAGTGTAATCATTCTTGCTGAACAACATGTAATTACAGCTCTTAGTCCTTATAAGTATTTTGTATAAAATGTACAATAAAAAACATTGTTGTAAGGTGAATTTCTGAATTAAAGACTCGTGTTAAAAACATGCCCATTTTATGCTTATAAAATACTTAGAAAACATCATATATTGATTTGACTTCGGTCCAACCCAATAAATGCTGTCTACATTATATGTTCATGTAATAGTTCTCAATACAGAAAACAATTATACAAGCCATAAATGATACAAGAAAATTAAAAAAAAAAAAAAACACTGCTTTCCAGCATGAATCATAGTAATGCAAAAAAGAAGAAAAAAATAGAATATTTAACAGCATATCTAAAAAAATGTCAAAGTTACAAAAATAATATTGATCTATCCAATTTATTGTAAAAGGATTACAGGCATTGAATGCATAAACTGAACAAAACTGAAAGATACTGAAGATGATCAAATTAAGTTTTTTTTAAACAGCCATTGTTCAAAGATTCTTGCCTTTATTGAACAATTAAGCAGCCATGGGCTTACATGGTGTGGTGTGGAACTAGCTGCTCCTCTACTGTATAAACCGATATCATATAACATCTTTGTATTTCTTATTTACGATTGTTGAAACCGACTTTAGTCCTCACGGCAGCTGTAGCCCGCATGAGATGTACTAGCGATGGTTTCCATATTTTGCAGCCCAATCAACCCGTCCATGCACTGGCTGAGCCGGTGGAGCGCGAGCGATGAGATTGGCGGAGTTTTTGCCTAGAGCAGAGTAACTTGTTGCCTTGAGTTGGGTTCGGTCTGCTCTCCTTTTCCATCCATCATAATCTGAGAAATCGACAAAACCAAAGTTTAAGGCCACTTTGAGAGAATAGCAATGAAAAGGCAGAGTCCAAAATTAACACTTGCCAAGTGCCAAACGAAAGTAAAAGGGGTGGCAGTGGTTCATGTAGGCTGTCTACAAACTGGAAGGTTGGTGGTTCAATCCCCAGTCTACTAAGTGTTGAGGTGTCCATGAGCAAGACACCTAACCCCAGCTGCTCCGGACGAGCTGGATGGCGCCTTGCATGGCTGACACCGCTGTCGGTGTATGAATGAGTAAGTGAATGTGAGGCAATATGTAAAGCGCGTTGGTGGCCATTGGTCTGTTGAAAGAGCCATTTAAATGCAGTCCATTTACCATTTAAAAACTTGTATTTTGTAAATTAAGCCAATTGACCAGTAACTTTATTAGGAACTGCAACATAGCATGGGTTACATTAAAAATGCAAAAACTTAACAGTCTAGTGAAAGTTATCCAAATCAATGTATACTTATTATTAATCACTTATTAAGCACTTATTATTATTAAGTGCACCTAAACATAGTTTTGACAGTTGCGGTCTGTCAAAGAGAGACGCAGACTGACAACTTGTATATGATGCTGCAAGTGACAATGTTTTCAGTGTTTTGTCACCAATAGCAAGGAGTCTGTTAAAAATGTCACAGTACAAGGCAGGTGTGGCAATGTTAATTTTGGACCCTGAGAAGAGGTGTTGACTAAGACAACTATTGTTCTGTGCTTTTACCTTCAGAGATATCATTGACTGAAACTGTAGAGGAAGGTTTGGACTTTGAAGGTTTAGCTTTGCCAGTTTTAGAGTCAGCAGTGGCAGAGAGATCAACTAAGATATAAATGTGTTGAGAGTGATAGACAGAGAGAATGAATGAAAGTTAAATTAATGAAGAAAGATACGACAGACCTTAAAATAGTGTAGAACAACATAAAGCAAACATGTCAGTTTTTTAAAGAGCAAGAACAAAAAGAATAAAAAGCTTGAAAGCTCTGAGTTAAAAATTTGGAAGAATAATAGCAAGTATAAAGATAAAGTGAGTACAGTGTTTCCCACAGGATTTTGTGAAACTGGTGGGAGGACCCGCGCAAAATATACAATCAGTAAAAAACAAATATTCCATAACAGAATGTAACCAAATGAGAACATGTCAAGGCAGAACTATGCATGGAAGTTCGATGAATGGATGAGTCATTAGGGGTGCACGATTCAGAAAATGTCACGATTCGATTCGATACCGATTTTTTGTCTCGAGATTCGATTCAAAATCGATTTTCGATTCAAAAACGATTCTCGATTCAAAAAACGATTCGCAGGTCTACATAAATGTAGTTTACTTTTTCCTATGTGATTGATTGCAGTAGACATAATTTAAAAGAAAAGTTTGATATTACTTTATATGTCTTCATACAAAAATAAAAACTTTTGCAACTAAAAAGTGCGAAGTGCCAAGCTTTGGCCAGCTTTTAAATAAATTTAATTCAAGTTTAAAATAAAACTTAAATAAAAAGCTTTTACATTTAGCTTTAAAGTGCTATAGTCAGATCAAACAAACAATTATGCTAAATGTGGTTTAAGGAGTAGGCCTACTTCAGCTACCAGGTTGACTGTTGAAATGTGAACTCGACTGGGCACATTGAACTTCCTAAAAATATATACTAATTTCATAGAACCCTTGCGAAAATATTTTAAATAGATTTAAAAAAGCCACCACTACTGGTAACATCTATGGTTAGATTGATTTGTTTAGATCCAGTGAAGTCGTTCATAGGCGCGTAATTTGCGGGTATCTCCAGTTAACTAGCAGAGCATTCATTTAGGTCGCTATTAAATAAGAGACCTGTTGTTTTTGAAATCAAGCTGAGCGCTCGTGTCCGCTGCAATCAGTGTCATGGATATACCATAGACATAATATATTATGTCTATGGGATACAGTGTTCTCTGTGGCTCGCGCAGTCTTCTCTCGGACGCGCACTTCAATCTATCGCCGTTGTGGAGACTCCGGTGAAATCACAAAATAAAATGCACACAAACGTGATGAACATATTCGGTTTTGATGAGAGAGAGAAAAAACTATACGAGTGCGGTTTAGAACCCGTAACCTCTGACACGCTTGGCAAAACATCTACAGAACTCAAACATAAGATCTGCGGATCGATGCATTTATTTACGGGTTGAGCAGAGTGGCTGCACAGTTTGACCAGCGGGCGGCAAGAACTTGCAATGACTATTTATCAGACCGGCCCTCGCAGCCTCGAAACCATAGAAACACTACCGGACCACCGGTAAAAGTCCCGACTTACCCGATTGCCACTCCGCCCCTGCACGCCATTAAAAAATATAGCCTATGAATCGATTTTTGGAATTCTATGAATCGATTCTGAATCGGTAAAGATTGAATCGCGATTCAAATGTGAATCGATTTTTTTGCACACCCCTATGAGTCATTGTTATTTGACACTTAAAAAAGGGAAAATGTTGTGGTACAGTGTTAGTGATTAGTTGTGAAGTCTTACTGCATACATTTAATCTATTTAATCCTCCAAATAAAAGTTTATGTGGTCGAATTATTTCTATTTATTAAACAATAGTTCAAAACAAGATGTTTGTATTAGACTACTGATTATTGGAGTCCATTAATCGAACTTTCATGCCTCTTATATAGTAATTATATATTACTATGTAGTATGTATATACCGATTTACTAATGCAAACTGTCACTCAGTCTACAACGGTATCTCTCGCGTGCTGTCACTCCGTGTCGCTCGCACACAGACACCATCGTCTCAAAGTGTTTCTCAATGTCACGGAAGGATCCTTGGAAGCCGGAATTTCGAGGATGCTACCCTTCGCGCACTTTTCAGCGCGCTTGGACACTCGTCTCTCTTGATCACTATAGCTCGCGCGCAGACACACTTCTCTCTTGCGCACTGGAGCTCGTGGAGGCACGTTATCAGACAGTGGTTTACGGAGCGCTAGATTGGCTTTTGGATGACGCATTTTAAATATCGCTCGATCACGTGAATTTGATCGTGGGAAGCCAAAATCGTGATCGTGATTAAAAGTCGATTAATCGTGCAGCCCTACTTCCGGCCATACGCAGTCTACTTGCCCCTTATGACGCAACTTATGACGTCAGAAGTAGAATAGTGTGTCATGGCGTAGCGTAAATATCAGCAGTATGTCGCAATAATCCCATAAGTTGCGCTTGTTATTTTGCTTTATAGTTTTTAAGGTGCCCACTTGAAGACCCTAAAGATGTCCCCTACTCGGCTCAATCCAGATGGTTGTCGTGCTGGTCCAACTGGGGAGACCACACTGTAGTTGCAGCCGTCATGTGTGCTGACGCACCAAGTACACTGCAGCTGTTAACGCCGTACAGAAGGGGAGTCACACCACCATATGGAAAGAAGCGTAAATGGATGGAAAAGCATAGTTTACTGTAAAGCTACGTCTTAAGTTTTGCTTATCTTGGCGAAAGCCGAGTACAAATCAGCATGAAGTTTTAACATCTACTCTCGTGTAATGGAAATCATGAAGATCTGGATACGTCCAGTGATTGCGGTGAATAGTGCTGGTGGCAACAAGGGAAAGACCTTGTGCCAGCATGGAGAGACAGCTGACAGGAGGAAAGAGACCCCAATGGGGCTGGTAAGGATTAGCTACCCTTGTCGGCAGTATCCAGCTCCATGTTTACAGGATGCTGGAGATAACTGCCCGAGGCTTCTGAGAAATTAAAGAGAAAAATACCCCTAGAGTCTGCGAGAGCGGGGGCAGAAGATGACTCAGATGTGGTTCAAGAGGGAGAAGTTAAACAAAAAGCAGTGAAAGGGCTGAAGAGCATAAACAGCTGTGCTCTACCAGGCAATCTAAAACTCTGGTGCTTTCAGTTTACTGCCGAGGTTGCTGTGGCCACTGACTGTGTACAAGGTTTCCTTGACAACAGTGGATAAGCTGGAAGTGTTAATAAGTTCATACATCAGGAAAATGGTTGGGAGTTCCACGCTGCCTCGGCAGAGTGGGACTTTATGGTAAAGGAATATTGCAGCTGCCAGTCTCTGCTTTAACCGAGGAGTTTAAGTGTGCCAAGGTCAGACTGGAAATGACCTTAGTAGAATCACGCGACAAATGTGTAAGTGAGGCAGCCCCTGTGTTAAAAACTGGTAGAAAGTAGTCAGCAAAGAAATCTGTAGTAGGGCAAAGGCTGTCCTTCAAATTGGGAATATCGTGGGACAGGTAGAGCATGGAAGAGGGGGTTTTGGGCTCAGTTTAGCTCCTCCTAAATGGCACAAGGCAGGTCCAGCTCAAAGGAGGAAGCTGGTAGTCAACGAGGTGTGAAAGAAGGAGGAGAGGATGAGTGTATCAAGGCCATTTTCCAGGCCAGGCAGGGAGAGTGGATGAGATGGTAGACGCACTTTTATGGATTTCAAAACAGAAACGGCCATTCACTACCATTATAAAGCTGGGAAGAGCCAGGGCATTTATATATATATACAGTATATATATATATATATATATATATAACTCTGATTGCATTCATCTAAAAAAAGACTGTCATATACACCTAGGATGACTTGAGGGTGAGTAAATCATGGCCTAATTTTAATTTTTGGGTGAACTTTCCCTTTAACAAATGCAGAAGGTCAAAACTAGAAGTAGGAGGAAGTAGACTATTAGATATTGAACTCTTACGCGCATGCTGGTGTCCGAGAGGGGCGAGCTGAATCCTTTGTCCTACGGACCCCACTTCCTTTTTCTGGAAAGAAGGCATGTATCCTCCAGAGAGATTGTATGTAGTGGTTACAAAGTTTCCTGTGAGCAGAGGCCACAACTTGTCAAGAAAGAGAGCACAACCAGCTAAACAAACAATCAAACAAGGCCTTGATTCTCAATAATTTTGCAAAATATATCTACTTAAGGTGTTAAATTTACTCATTCTACCAAATGTCAGTATTAAAGTCCCCCTGTGGTGAAAATCAAGCTTTATGGTGTTATATATCCGTGTGGTGTTTTTAATATGCTTTAAGACAAAACGTGCACATTTATAAGTCAACACCATTGTTGAGTATTTTGACCTGCACTGAACCGAAGACAGTCTCAACCGCTTTTTTTGCAGTTTGAAATCACTGGTGTTTCTGACATCACAAACAACCTTGTAACCAATCAAGTTAACGTGCGATTATCAATGAGTGGATCTCTGAGCTGGTGTGAGTGAGTAGAGGAGGGTCTAATTTTATTATCCATAGAACCGCGTATTGTAAATGAGGTAAGGGTGTAGAATTACATTCAAGCAATTTTTTTTCAAGCAAAAAAAGGAAAAAAACAAACATTTAAATATGTAATTTTAGTGATTAACAATGAGTTTTAAGGGATTCAATTATTGACTACAGGGGGACTTTAATAATCAATTTCCTCAATGACTGCCAATTTTTGTTGAAATGTCTTCCAGGCATTTACACCACAGGCCAAAATCCATGATGTGGGTAAAATCTGAACAGCACTGTTGCTATGTACCTTTAACCTGTTCATTTTGCTCTAGTGTCCTTTCTTTAGCTTTATCTGTGGCTTTACTGCTGCTTTCCTCTGAATCCATGCAGGGAGAAACGATGGACAGCATTACAGTTAAAGTAGACAAGAATTAGAATTACATGAAGCCGGGTTGTGCAAAATTCAGAATTTTAGATTTAGTTTCATGTCAATTCAAAAGATTTATTTGAAAGTGATCTTGCAGCTGAATTTGAAAATGGAAGGTTGAATGATTTTTTAAAAATGAATTGCAATTCAAAGAAATTCAAAACAGTCACACAACAAAAATAATTCAATTATTCATTGAAAAGTTTTGTTATAAAACATGAATAATTATATTCCTAATGTTAACCAATTATGCCCATTATACCCTGATACGTAGAATAAAGAATTGTTAAAAAATTTGAGAAACAATAAAAGTTATATTCTGTAAAAACAATTATAAAGCCATGAAACAGATGTTGCTATATGATGTCACCAAATGTCTGCCAAGTCATTTTTATGGGTATTTCTTTATTTGTATAGGTATCTTTTTTCTAATTATATGCTGTGTTTTTGATGGGAAATGAATAAAACAGATTTTCAATTTTTTTTTATTATTTATATTTTGAATTATAACCTAATTTATAATATGATTTGAATTTAAAAGGCATTGTAAATTTAGTTCTGAATGATGCACAACACTGAAGTAGTGAGATCAGGTGGGAAAGTTAAGAATATGGATATGAATATAGACTTAATGAACACTTGGTCAGTAATGTGGGGTCCTTAACATTATGCAAATAAGCAATACTACTAGGCTCAAACTACTAAGACAAAAGGGAGTTTTATACAAATTGGTTGCTAAAATGCATCATTTACTTATCCTAGAATGCATAAAGGAGGTCAAATTGACTCGTGGTTTTAAAAATGTGTTAAAATAATATTTGCTTATTCAGTGTTTTACTCAATATCATATTTGTATCACTACCCCAAGGTTGCAAAAAGGTTGTCAAATGTCCCGTATTTATTCATGCACATTCTACAAGAAATGTGGGGAGGGAAAGTTTAGACTACCGCCTAATTTACAGTAGTTCTAAATTAGTTTGAAAAAAATAAATAAAAAATGTGTGAAAAAAGTACTATTGCATTTAAAAAATAATAAATGCCACCTTTTATTGAACAAATAATAAGACAGCATTGGATCAATTAAAAATTTTGTCTATCATCAATTATTGCAAATATTTCATTAAAAAGTAATAGATTAATTTTAAGAAGACCAATAAATATAAATCTTTGACCCACTTTATGCATCTGTGTAGGTTGTTTGGTTCATGCATTCTAGGGTTAAAAGACCTCAAGCACTACGTCTTGGATGAATGCAAATGAATTGTGAATTGCGTATTGTTGAAGTCTCAGCTTTAATTCACGTATGATATATATAGGTGTGTGGCTGTGTGCTCACCTGGGCTGATTCTGGACATTGGAGCTCCTCCAATTGGTGCGAGAGGTTTGTTAATCAGAGCTGAGGTGTCCCACAAGTCTTGTTGAGACTCCTTGCTGCTCGGAGATGGTGTGTTCTTGTTTATTAACCCTAGGATTGACAGAATCAACGAGTAAAAACTCTGACTTATTAAAATGGGATCTATTATGCTAAATTAATTTTTACATGGTGTTTGAACATAAATGTGTGTCGGCAGTGTATGTACACACCCACCCTTAAAATGTAAAAACCACCCACTCTTTTTAAAAAACTCTTAAATCATTAGCAGTAGCTGGTTTTTCATTTACCTACAAATTGCGCAAATTAAAATTGAAAATTGAAAATACGCCCAATGGAAACAAAAAATGTTTTTACGCTCGCATAATGTGGTTTTAAAAAAGTCGATAATTTTTTTAAAGGAACACTCCGACTTTTTGGGACTTTAGCCTATTCACCTTACCCCCCAGAGTTAGATAAGTCCATACATACCTTTTTCATCTCCGTGCGTGCTATAAGTCTGTTTGACGCACCCACCGCTAGCCTAGCTTAGCACAAAGACTGGATGTGAATGGTTGCAGCTTTCATACTAATCCAAATGAGTGACAAAATAACGCAAACGTTTTCCTATTTACATGTTGTGGTTTGTATAGTCACAGAGTGTGCAAATATCAAGGCCATATGAGACACAGACATCTTTTGACCGTATAAATACTATATTTTCTGAAGGCGAAGCACTGCTACTTGGGCAGAGTGATAACAATCACCTGAGACGCACCGTGACGAGGAGCAGAGAGTTCGCTTCGCTCAGCGTTGGAATAAAGAGTCAGCAATTACTAACGTTAGATAGAAAAGCATAGTTTATCATGGGTGTTTGCTTTATTGTATGAGCTGTGACAATAAACAGGGGAGACCAGGTAATACAGTACCATGTTTCATTGATTTCCAACCAAAAACGCACCCAGATTTATAAATATCACATGAATAAATAATTATTATTACAGGAATCAATATAATTTAAAAGCAATTTATTAGCTGAACCAAATGTATTCAACAGTAGCCTATATAATATACAGTATTGCATTACTATAGGATAGAATAAGGGGAAAGTAATAGCACAAATTGTTTTTCCACAATGAACTCACAGCCTATCGTACCCTTTTGCACGCTCAAGTTCGTTATTTCCATGGTTATTTCAAATTAAGGCTACTAGGCGCGCCGCGCGCAGGGTGCAAGTTCAACGCGGTGAACGCGCTCGTTTTTTTCCCAAGCGCGTCCGCACCGCATCAAAATAAAAACATATTCATACCCTAATCATATAATAGTGTCACTAACGTTACATTAGATCTGGCTAATGGCACTGTTACAGTAGGTCATCTTTTTTTTTTTTTTTTTTTTTTTTTTTTTTATTGCAGGTTAACAAAACAGTAACACATACCAGGTAAGATTCAGTGAGACACATCTACAATACAGAAGTAGGAAAGGGGAAACAAAAAAACAAAAAAAAACAACAACAAAAAAAAAACAAAAACAACAGAGAACAGAAAAACTCACAACAGCCCCACACAGTTATCGACAAAGTGGTATATGTAGGCACACGAGATCCTTTCTGTGATGCAATTCGGTAGTATCTGAATAGTTGTAGAGGATATGATAGAGACTTTGACAAACACAAAGAAACATATACATATATATATATATATATATATATATATACATACATATATACACACATATATATATATATATACATATATACATGTATCCGTATTAGTGTTAGTGGTGGCAGTATCAATGATAGTATTTATAATGATAATATTCATGACAATAATAGTAATATAGGCTATAGCAATCTACAACAGTAGTGACAATAGCAATATGACAATAAGAATACATTTAATTTTATTTTTATTGCACATCTGCTCTAAACTCTGGGTCAGAGGGCTGACCCAGAACTGCCAGTGAGCGCAACCAACAGGCCCCCCAGACACAGATGTTTCCCCTCGATTCAATAACACGATTCCCCTCCACCACCTTCAGTGACACCCAAAGGGCTGACCCAGAACTGCCAGTGAGCGCAACCAACAGGCCCCCCAGACACAGATGTTTCCCCTCGATTCAATAACACGATTCCCCTCCACCACCTTCAGTGACACCCAACCCCCATCGTTATACTTCTGGGCTACATTGAGTTTTTCCACCGGGGGACCACAACAGGCACCTCCAAACCAAGCTCCCCTAGTCTGTTTGTGACCTGACACAGCCAAGTGTTATTGGTGGTTGGGTCCCCCCCCCTTTTTTTTTTTTTTTTTTTTTTTCTTTGTTTTTTTTTTTTCTTTTTTTGTTTTGTCCCATGGTTTGGACCGAGGCGTACACTGGTTAGCTCCCTAGCCAGAGACACCACATCCAACCCTGGTATCACTTAAAAAGAATTATTTTACTTGATGGGAGGGGTTTGGCTAGAGGTAGTGAAGGGGAAGGGCCATTTAGTCCAATCACTAACAGGGCGTGCTAGCCGCGCCCACCAACAGCACCCGGGCCAGATGCCCGACCCAGTTAAAAAAATAAATAAATAAAATTACATAAAAATAAATAGTAATAGTAAATAGAAAATAATGTTACTAATATTTATACGTAGTATTTTCTGACTGGTTACTTATAGAGAGAAAAGAAATGGGGGGCTCATAATTCTATAATAATAATAATAATAATAATAATAATATATTTCATCTTCCATACTACCACCACCCTATAAAGATATGTAGCAAATAGTGATAAAATGCAGATTATAAAAGTATACAGCTTATCAAATATTATACATATACACATATACAAACATTTATATACACGTACACATACATACAAATACATCCATATATACACACACATTCATACCTATATATAAGGGGCATCTATTATAGTGCTGTACAGTAATACACAGATAATATTTTATTATTAATTTGTAAACATGTGATTGGGGAAGTGCGTTGGTCCGGTCCCAGGCTACTGATGTATATGAAGATGAGTTAGGAATGGGTTCCAGATATCAAGAAATTTAGAAATAATGTTCTTGTTAGTATATGTTATTTTTTCAAATGTGATGTATTCTATTAGAAGGTTGGTCCAGTGATTGATGTGTATATGGTTTTTGGACTTCCAATTTTGCAAAATTACTTTCTTGGCGATAGTTAGAGAAATTAGGAGTGGGTTTTTGTAATTGATTGGGAGATTATCAACTTCAATGCAGTTGTTCAGTAAGCAGAGTGATGGAGAAAGAGGGATTTCACAACCCATGATAACGGATAGTTTTGTGGTCACTGATATCCAGAATGAGTGAACTGACTGACAGGTCCATAAGGCATGAAAATAATCATCTGTGCTCCCCAGTGTGCACTGTGAACAAACGTCTGTGTCCCTCAGGCCCATTAAAAACATCTTCTTTTCGGTGATATGAATCCTGTGAATAATCTTGAACTGTATAAGCTGGAGGTTAGCATTATTAGTCATTGAAAATGTGTTGTTACAGATTTCTTTCCAGAGGTCGGTGTTGGGGGAGAAGGTTAATTCTTTTTCCCATTTGTTTTTGGGTATTATAATTGTTGTATCATTGTTCAGTAAACATTTATGTAGTTTTGATATTAGTTTGCTGGTGTTAGTGATTTTCATTATATCTTCCATTAACTGAGGGGGATGGAGTGGGTTATTAATTATGTTAATCTTGGATTTTATTATGGATTTAATTTGTTGATATTGTAAAAACTGTTCTCCCCCAAGACCATACCTCTGGACTAATGTTTTAAACGATATGAATTGGTTGTTTTCAAATAAGTGATGGAGATGAGTGATTCCCTTTTGTCGCCAAGATGGAAAATGTATTGGTTTATTGCATAATTGAAAATCAGGGTTGAACCAGATGGGGGTGTGTCTACATGATGTTAGTGGGGATTTGTTAATTTTGTTTACTTGCCACCAGGCTGTCAGAGTTGATGCAATGGTAATGTTATTAAAATATGGCATTTTCTGAATTGATTTTGGTAGAAAGACAAGGTCTGAAATTGAGGTATCTTTACAATGGTTTTGTTCTAGTTCTATCCATGAATTATTATATTTAGTTTTATGAATCCACTTATATAGATATTGTAGCTGATTTGCTAAAAAGTAATACAGAAAATTAGGAGCTTCTAGGCCGCCTTGTGATTTTGTTTTTTGTAATTTTCCTAGTGATATTTTAGGTGTTTTATTTTTCCAGTAGAAATGAGAGGTTAGTGAATCAAGTGATTTAAACCATTTTTCGGAGGGTGTTGTTGGAAGCATTGAGAATAGATAATTGACTTGTGGTAAGATTTTCATTTTAATTGTAGCAATGCGACCGATAAGTGACAGTGGTAGGTTAGTCCAGCGTTTTAGCTCATCTCCAATTTTTTTTAAAAGTGGAATATAGTTAAGATTATTCAACTCTGACAGTCTGGAGGAAATGTTGATACCCAAGTATGTAATGTTGCCAGTCATCTAAGCCTGTTGCTAGGTCATCTAAAAACATAACGGAACACTTACCTCAGCCGCAGTGATCCACTTGTCCTGTCTGTGCTATCGATGGGATGGCCGTATCCTTCAGCACATTATTTTTTCAAAATAGTCGTCCTCATTGAAATGTACCGAGCAAACATAATGTCCCTTGATAATCTTAGGTGTGTTTGGATAAATATCCAGAGTAAGTTAGCCATTTCTTCATCCAGTCAGCGTTTTTAGTTGGAATTCTGTGAAACATGTTACCTCCCCTGTTTACAGTCGCAGCTATTTACAATAGAGCGAAAACCCATGACTCTAAACTACGCTTTTACTATTTATAAATTGCTGACTCTGTTACCCAAACACTGAGCGAACTCTCCGCTCCTCACCACGGCGTGTCTCCGGTGATGCGGTTATTACTCTGTCAAAGTAGCAGTGCTTCGCCTTCAGAGAATAGTTCCCAGGTTTTATACGGTTAAAAGATGTCTGTGTCTCATTTGACTTTGTTATTTGTACATTATGTGACTATACAAATCACAACATGTAAATAGGAAAACGTTTGCGTTATTTTGCCACTCATTTGGATTAGTATGAAAGCTGCAACCAGTCACATCCAGTCTTTGTGCTAAGCTAGGCTAGCGGTGGGTGCGTCAAACAGACTTATAGCACGCACGGAGATGAAAAAGGTATGTATGGACTTATCTAACTCTGGGGGGTAAGGTGAATAGGCTAAAGTCCCAAAAAGTCGGAGTGTTCCTTTAAGGCGGTGCAGTATGTTTGGACAGAAGATGAGACAGGCACCTTTGACCTTTCCTTGGCCTAAGGACCACTTTGCTGTTGTTAGGGCCAAATTTGAGGCAGGGAGGATCCACAGACAGAGCCTGCAAGTATCTAACTCACTTAACTGACGCTAGAGCCAGCAAGAGGGCAGTCTTAAGCGAGAGGGACAGAAGGTCAGTTGACTCGAGCGGCTAAAAGGAAAGGCCCCATAGTGCCCTAAGGACTGTGGAAAAGGTAGCCTGGCTAACGCCAGACCACGTATCATTGAGAATGAAACGTGGTCTGGAAACCACATGTTAATTTTCTCGTATTTGAGGCGTGGTTTACGAATGCCCAGAGCCGTATTATTGGGTGCTACGAATGTCTATCAAATGCGCCTGTACGTCTATCAAATGTGCCTGTGCTCCCTCCCAGTTCTGTGATTGGTTCCCTATTTCAGGGGAAAATTTGGTTCATGGTATCCAGACTGCCTAGCAGCGCGAATAAAATCGTGCTGTTGCAAGGCAGAATGGGGAAACCCAGGCTAGTGGAAAGGTCCAGCTGGGACCGAACAAGGAACTTAAAGGGGCACTCCACCCATTTGCAGTAAGCTTTCCATTGTTAGAAACCCAGTTATACTATTGAATGGTCAGTCCTTCTAGAAAATCGCGAAGTTTTTTTGTGATTGTTGCGGGCAAAAATCCTTGATTATGCAGCCTGTTTTCTTTGAAAATGCAATGGAATATGTGGGATATTTATGCAATTTTATGCGATGAAATTGCGGTTACTTGGAAAAATTGCAGGAACTTGCAAAAACTGCGGTTTGATGAAAAAGAGAAAAAAAGTGATTCCCCAACGCCCTGTTCTCACTAGGCTACTATATTAATATAAAGAGTCATTTCTTATTACTTCCTTTGATAAACAAGCATACTACATCATAGAAAGTGCTGGGAATATTTAATTTCTCATCTTGTTTTATTTCAGACTGTAACGAGTGTAAATAAGGTGTGGCCCCTTTAAGAGCTGTGCGCTCCCTGTTGAACTGTCTGCAGTGTTATATTATATGTGCACCTCGAACACCCTATGTGTGCGGGTAATTTCTGTTTGATGCTACTTATTTTATCTTATTTTGTTCATTAAGTAACAATGTGACGGTAGAACGTGTGACAGAAAGATTATACGAGTTCGATTTGTGAGATGTCAATCGCCTCTGTGAGTCTGTCTGGCATCTGCAATAACTTCAGCTGTGACCTATCCCGTCACATAATTGTGTCACTTCATAACGTTCCCATGGAAACAGGGGGAAATGGCTGCTCTTGTGTGAAGCAAACGCAACATTTTTCAACTTTCTGCTAAGATATATGTGACTTTTTTGCAACGAAAATGTGAGGATTATGAAATCATGCAAACCCCGCATATTGTGCATGGAAATCGACAATTTATGCGGCGAATTTGAAAAAATGCGGCCCCCGCATGAATATGCAGACTTTGGCTGAATATGCATTAAATTCAGTGATCGCATAATCACGTTTTTCTGGAGGGACTGAATGGTCATGCAACACAAACTAATTTTCCCCTGAGACGAGAGAAATCTGCTATTTACCTTTTTCACTTCCTCCTACAATGACGCAAAAATCGTCATTTTACATCATTGTAGAAGGAAGTGTAATTTCTGTAAAGACTACAAGCACTCTTTCCCACCCTTTTAAACCCGCCCATAGGGGGTTGGACCTAATGCACGAACAGACCTATCACAGATCAGTGTGCCAGTGCGTCTGATTCAAGCGGTTTATGTGCCAGTTTGATATAGGGGTTGTCCATAAGCCAAAGGCTATCCTGCCACCACTCAGGGCGCCCCAGCCTGTCTAGGAGGAGTCTGTCATGACTATTTTCCTCCTGGCAACTGAACGCAGCAGCACCCGGTTTGGTAAAAGCGGGCTGATTTTCAAAGGACCAGGGCCCTGACACAGCCGAGTGATCTTGGGTGGAAGAGCAATCCTAACGGAATAACCAAGGAAGCCGCATCCATGAGGCCTAGGAGC